GCACTCCACGCTTAGCCTGAAGAGTCACCTGGAAAGACATGGTCCCTGCTCTCCCTCTACTCCGCCTTCTACAGTCTAGGAGATGCTAGATACAAGGTAGCAAGCGTGCTGAGGAAGAAATTCTACTGAACCTTTCCACTCTCCCTAAAACAAAGGCCTGACAACCTTTGATCCTATGCCTTATCCATTCCCATACACTTATAAATACACATATATACAATCGGCAGCTAATATGTCTACTGGTGTGAAATTATCATTAGCTGTGATGAATATAAATCCACATTTCAAATAGTTTTTTAACTGTTTGAAAATTACTATACAATGAAACTGATAAAGAGATTCAACTCAGAGTAAAAAAAAAAGTCAGCTTTTCCGCCTTTTTGTCTCTTTTTGCTTTCATTATGGATATTTATCTGCAAACAGCACTTTCTTTGCATGAGTTGCTTAAGAAACTGTTCAAGCTGATCTTATAGAAGTTAGCACAATACTATGTATATGCAATACACTTAGCAAGTATTTATTGGTAGATTAATGTGCACTAGGTAATGTGCATTAGGTGCTTAGGCATTTTCTGTGCTAAGATAAAACATTTTAAAGGTCCCTAGGAAGACTAGAAATCCCAGGTGCTGCAGCAAAACTGCTGAGACGTGTTCTGTATCACTGTACACAGATGTTCTAGTCCTAGGAATATAACAAATCTGATCAACCAGAAATATCTGAAAATGGATAGGTGCTGCCGAAAGCAGAATGAATCATGAAAGAAAGTTGTTATGAGTAATTCATCAGACATAAGAGAAGGTAAATATATAGATTTGTCTTCTAAATGTTAGTATGAGTCTTTACCGGAAGTTTTCAGCAATGGCACCTGTTTCTGTATAATTAAAAAGACCAGCTGTGTGGCAGCAATGAGACTATGGTGGAATTAAGCAGAGTCCCCACTGACAGTTCCTCGTGCCTCTGTATACCTGGAAGGGCCACTGGGAAGATCACGTGAAAGAAAAACCTCTACGTGAGGGCGTTTGTGGCCAAGACACGTAAAAAGCTGATTCGGTACAGTGCATCCCTCGTGTAAGACTGAGTGGCTGTAGCAGTTAAGCTGGACTGTCTGTCGATGAGTGTGTGAGTTTTCTGTGAGACTCGTAGAGCACACTCCTGCATGTGTCTGAGTGGGTCCTACATCTGATCCTGGCCCTTTCTACTCTGGCCCTAGTCCCGTTCCGCCTCCGCCATGAACTAAGCACCTTCGCTCCACGCTGCCCTTCCACCTCGGCCTTGGAGCCAGTGATCCCGGACCGAACCCTCGGAAACTGTGAGCCACACTGAATCTCTCCTTTAACCTTTAAGTTGCAGGTGCTCAGTGTTTTGTAGCAGCATCAGGAAAGCTGACTAACACAGCTGCTCAGTCTCAGGTTTAGCCCGGAATCCTTAGGCAGGCTTCCAAACAAGAAAGATATTCAGCCTAATGAAGGAAGAAATCAAAGTATGAGCATAGAGATTAGTGGTGAAGCTGAGGATGAGTGAAAACTTCATTCCTGGTGTTTGCCAAAATGTGCCGCCCTTCTCCGTAGTAATAATGAATGCTGACCATGCATCTTCTGCACCAGTCCTTACAAGAAAGCTTTCCCTGAACTTGTGCCCGTTCCCTACCAGAAGGACTGGTTGCGTGCGTGCCTCTGCTACAGCTTCATTCGTGCTGCAAGGACAGTGCGCTCAGAGACGCAGAGCAGTAAGACGAGCAGGTACCACTTACGGCAGAGTGAGTCCTGAACCATGACTACTGTTCAGAATCGAGAGAAAGATATATAGACTTTGAAATGTTCATAATTCACAACAGATCAAAGACAAAGGAATAGAATATCTCATAGAATTTTTAGCATCCTTAGGGTATTCGGGCAGAGATGCATCTGTACGCTCCCAAATAAAATACTCTGTTTTGCTGCATTTTTATTTTTAGTAGTGCACATTTGCAGTACGCAGTGATCGCCTTCCTCCTGAGGAGTGGGAGCACGGACAGAGGACAGCTCAATTCCTTCTCATCCCTTCCCCCTTCTCCCTGCCTCCCTCCATCTCTTGCCCCCCCTTCCCATTTGCAAAAGATCTATCTCTCTTTTCCTTTTATGACTTTTTTACTTTGCCCTTAATTTATATTTTGCTTCCTCCGATTTATTTTACTTATTCAAGGCACTTATTCTTAAACCCCACCTCAGGCAGATGCTTGTCATTGACTGTGCTGGTAAATGCGGAGTAAGAGGCTTTGGGTTGGGAACAGATATATGGAAGAAATTGAATACCTCCAGCCCCAGGTAGACCTCACTATCCTCAGCTTCAACACGCAGACCTCGGCAATAAACTGACCACGCATGTTGAAGATCACCAGTTGGCCTTGAACCAGTGCAGAGAATATATCACACGAGGCAAGGAGAATCTGAAAGTTTGGCTAGTGAAGTCTTTCGATATTGGTGCTAAATCATTTTAATAAAATATTTCTCCTTAATTAGAGTCATTCATAGGAAAATGGATGCATATTGAGGCCACGCTCTTAAGTGAAATAAATAAGTCACACGTGTGTAAATACCGAGTAGTTTCTCTGGTGTGAAAAATGATAATCATAAATAAGATCCTAATGGTATAATTGACAATGTGAAATAGGAAGAAAAGGGCTAAAAGTGTAGGGGAAGTGGGAAGGTAGGGGAAAGGAAATAAAGGAAAAGAAAAAGATATGAGAAAATGAAAGAATCGAAATAAAGTCTTTGTAAATAGGGAAGGGAGGAGGGGTGAAGGGAGGACAGGGGTATGGGGAAAAAATGAGAACCAAGACCTGTCATGGTATAATTGACAATGTGAAATAGGAAGAAAAGGGCTAAAAGTGTAGGGGAAGTGGGAAGGTAGGGGAAAGGAAATAAAGGAAAAGAAAAAGATATGAGAAAATGAAAGAATCGAAATAAAGTCTTTGTAAATAGGGAAGGGAGGAGGGGTGAAGGGAGGACAGGGGTATGGGGAAAAAATGAGAACCAAGACCTGTCATGGAAAGGTACAAGACCCCAACGATGATGGAACTGTAGTGTCTACCTAAACTGTACCAATAAACTCAATGAGAGAAAATTAAAATAAAATATTTCTCCTTGAAATTTAGAGAACGACCTTTTGCACAGTGAAAGGTAGACTTGGAAATATGCCAAACATTATTTGAATTACTGTTTCCATAAGAGTTCGTTTGAATTTCAAAGGAGCAGCCTGAAAAGGGTTCATGCCCTCCGCTTACAGCATACTGCTTATCATTTGTTGTCATTATTTCTAGTTTATGCTAATAGATCTTTTTCTCATTGAGTTTATTGGTACAGTTTAGGTGCACAGTACAGTTACATTCATCGTTGGGGTCCTGCACCTCTACATGACAGGTCTTAGTTCTCATTTTTCCCCTTGTCCCTGCCCTCCCTTCACCTCCTCCACCCTCCCCTATTTACAAAGACTGTTCCCGTTTTTTCCTGTTCTCATACTTTTTCTTTTCCCTTCTTTCCTTTCCCCTACCCTTCCCACTTCCTCTGCACCTTTGGCCCTTTTCTTCCTATTTCATATTTCACATTGTCAGTTATACGATTTGGATCTTATTTACACTTTTAGTTTTTCTGTTGTCATTATCCATCTATTTATTATTTATTTATTATTTATTTATTTTTCCTAACATAGATTAGTTGTGTATCTTGTGGGGTTCTGTGTGATATTCCAACACATTCAAAGAGTGTGATACATCTCTGCTGGCGCTCCCCCCTCTCACTGTAACTATTTTTAACAGTATGATCTCTCGGATCCTGACAAAGCACTCCATTTACTTCTAAAGTGGCGCCCCCGTCAGGTTGCCAAAGGGGCCGCCTGTTGGTCAGCTAAAGCACTGCGGGGTTCTAAGTGGTCACATTTTCTCCACAACATGCTAAGATGAGGTCTCTATGAGTACTTTAATATTTGACTGCAGATGACACTGACATAATATTTTGTTGATGTGATGTAGTCTAAGTTTATTACAAAATATTCTCAGCTGTCTAAATTTGCTTATAACTGATACTTGAATTCCCCATTTTAAATCCTCTAGTTCTTATGAGTCATAGTGAAGCCAGCAATCTGCTTTTCAATATTTGCACTAGTGTAACTTTGTTTTCCACGAACCAGACTGGTTTTGAAGAGTATGTGCTGAGGAGTCTGACTCAGAGCATTCTGAGATGCTTCAGTATCATATTTATACATACGTATGTGCATAATATTCTGTCAGGCGTGGTGGTGCACACCTATAATCCCAGCGCTGTGGAGTCTGAGGCAGGAGGATTGTCATGAGTTCAAGGTCAGCTTGAGCAACATAGATAGACCCATAACCAAATCACAGGTCACTTGTATGCAAAAATTGCAGATATGTCATCTATATTAACTCCCGACAAGGCAATAGAAGTTCTTTAGTATCATATTTCTCTTGATCTAATACTGTGTTGTGTTTATAATATCTACAAAGTAACAAACAACCTCATGTGTTTAATCATTTTACTTTAGAGCATGCTATATTTACTCACCACACTAAAATATTTGGAAAAAGACTTTCACAAGAAGTGCAGAAATAAAATTGCTAAACTCCAGTCATAAAAAATTTTGGCTTAACTTTAAATGTTTCAATTAAAAGATGAAAGGTAATTTTAAATGACGCTCGCTAAAATTAGCCGATGTATATGGCTATAATAATTGCTTTGTATTCTCCGTATGGAAAAATAATTATAAAAACGATGCGGATTTTTTCTACCAAATCATAAAGAATGAAAGCGTACTGCTTTATCTAACCACTTAAGATTCATGGGCACTTTAAATAATTCAAGAATGCCTAGACAGACTTAATAGTTTGCCTCGGATCTTTGTAGTCCATACTTGAAGCGCACACGAAGTCTTTCCTAATTTCAGTAGAAGTGTAAGATTCTATTTCGACCACAAGGTGGCATCCGCCGTAATCTGAGCTTCAAAGGCTACAGGAGCAACCGAGGGAACTCGACGATTCCAAAGGTGGGCATGCATTACAGGAGCTGTCCTCGGCGCCAGAGCGGTGAGTCAGGGGTAATTGTGGGGAGCGCGGCTGAGCGGCTGAGCGTGGTTTTCCTTTGCTTTGTCTTACTGGGAAGTTCTGGGAAGAGGTCCGTGAAATCCCCACATGTTGCAATGCACTGTGTGGTTCTGCTCCCGATTCCAACTCTCTCCCTCCCACTTCTCTCTCTCTCTCTCTCTCTCTCTCTCTCTCTCTCTCTCTCTCTCTCTCTCTCTCTCTCTCACTTTTAAATACTGAGAGCAATTTGCCTGTAGGCTTGGAATCCTTCCTTGATTAGGCTAAGATAAGGAAAGCTGCCCGCAGCGGAGAGAAGGAAAAGCGCAGGCGAGTCTGGACTTGCTCCGCTGGGGAGCAGAGCCTGAGAGGGGTAGAGTACAAAGTCACTCTGGGAAACTGAGCTTCGGGTTCTGTGTCGGTAACAGGCAGCCAGGCAGGACCCCCGCAGGCAGGGAGCGGAGCAGCGGGCCGGTGTCCGCCCTCCGAGGGCTGTGGGTACGGAC